TTCGAGCGTGGTCGAACACAACCTAGTGTTAAAATGTGGTCGAGGGCCGATGGGTGTTATTCGAGAGTGGTCGAACATGACCTAGTATTAAATCGTGGCTGAGGGCCGACGTGTGTTATTCGAGCGCGATCAAACATAACATAGTATTGAATTGTGGCCGAGGGCCGACGGGTGTTTGTTCGAGCTTAGTCGAATATAACCTTTCGTTAAATCACGCCCGAGGGCATGTAGGTGCTTGTTCGAGCTTAGTTGAACATAACCTTTCGTTAAATCGCGATCGAGGGCCAGTAGGTATTTGTTCGAGCTTAGTCGAACATAACCTTTCGTTAAATCATGGCCGGGGGCCGATAGGTGTTTGCTTGAGCTTAGTCGAACATAACCTTTCGTTAAATCGTGACCGAGGGCCGGTAGGTGTTGTTCGAGCGGGGTCGAACATAACTTTTCGTTAAATCATGGCCGAGGGTCGGTAGGTGTTTGTTAGATGTTAGTCGAACATAACCTTTCATTAAATCGTGATCGAGGGCCGGTATGTGTTGTTCAAGCGAGGTCGAATATAACCTTAATACGAAAAAAAAAGGTGTCCTGATAAACGTAAGTTTCTTATTACTTCGACATTGTTGCTTTGGTTACATACTTGGAGAAAGTTACAGATTTTGGGTGTCAGCTGGTGTTCCAGTCCTAGTCCCAGTCTACCTAGTCCATTCATTGTTTGACTTGGAGAGTATTGAGGAGTCTAGCAATGAAAGGTCCCTCCATCGCATACTTCGAGTCGAAGTGTTCCCTTTGCCGCCTTATTAAAACCTCCTTGAGAAAATCTAAATGGGACAAAACTCAAGTGAGGGAAAAAGAGAACGACTTGGGGGACACTTTTTCTCTCAGAAGTTAAAGTATTTGAGGTGGTTGATGATCCAATTATTTGGTAGTTGCTTTCCTTCCATTGTCTCTAGTTGGAACAAACCCTCGTTCGCTTTGACTGTGATTTTGTACGGACCATCCCAGTTTGTCCCCGATCGTGATGCTTTTGGTAGCTGCGACCAATTTGGCGAGGCCGTCCACTTCGGAATTCTACGCCAGTGGGATCTGGTCGAGTTAGCATTTGTTGAACTCCAGTACTAGCTAGCATATCTAGGTATGGTATTTTTGCAACCTTTGTTCCTAGTTTCTCAAGAGCGTAGACTATTTCTGTAGGCGACACACAAAAATTGTGAGTAGATAATAAAGGAGGTATACCTCTCTCGTTCCGGTGAGTCCCTGTCCTTGGCTTGTATGGTCCTTCTTGATAGCGATGGGAGGGTGCAACGGTCGTCCTGACATATGGCTGGTGTCGTTCTCTATTAGGTCACGAAACTGGGTGATCCCTAATGATGTTGTCTCTTCATTCTTTTCTGGATTCGGTTTGTATCGAGGTTAGCCTATGAGTTGATCCGTTGAGGTCGTCTTCGCCTGCTCGGACCTCGGCACAATAAGCATTATGAATTTCGTCCCAAGTGGTTGGAGAATATTTCATCAATCGGCTCAATAGTTTTCTACTAGCTCTTGAACCATCCCTACTCAACCCGTTCTGGAAAGCCGCGACCGCCATCCCTTTAGACACGTTCGACAGAGTCATCCTTACTCTGTTGAATCGGGTGAGGAAGTCCCTTTCCCAAGGACTACTTGATAGCGAATATGTTGTTTACTCTTGCTTCAGTCTTCTTGGTTCCGGCATGGGCAGTTACAAATTTATCGGCCATTTCCTCAAAAGTTTCTATGGAGTGGGCTGGTAGCTATGAATACCATGTTAATGCCCCTCCTGTAAGCGTTTCACCAAACTTTTTCAGCAAGATTGAGGACACTTGTTCTTTAGCGAGGTCATTGCCTTTCACGACAATGACGTAATGGGCCACATGATCCTCGGGATCGGTCGTTTTGTCGTATATCCAGAGGTAGGGCGGCATTTTGAAGGTCTTTGGTATGGCATGCGGGAGTGCGTCATCGCTGTACGACTGCTCCACGAACCTGCCCGACGTCCCTTTTTGGCAACAGTTTAGGAGCACCTGGTATTTTGTCGACTTGTTCTTGGTGTTCTTTCATTTGGTCTCGGAGTGATTTATTTTCATTCCCCATTTCTTTCATCTTCTTTAGAACGGCAGCGATGACGCTGTCACCTGCACTGTTAGTAATATTATGAGTTATATATGTCGTCAGGGGGTTTGGTCAATTGCACTGCTCGTCTGTTTGTTGTATCATGCAAGCTCTTGCGGTTTCTGTAGTCTTGCCTGGAGCGGGTTTATTGAGCACGCTCACTAGAGTGTCGATCAGCCATGCTTCGAGGAATTTTTTCACAGCCTGGGGCGTCCCTTCTTCTGCGGACGTGGAAGCCCATTTTCCACTAGGTTTTGTTATGCTACAATGGGGGTAGGCGACCTCTCGCGCCTAAGGGAAGCATTGGGCATCACGTCCTCGCCCACTATTTCGTAGCTCTCGTTGATAACATTCGTGAGGTTGTTAGGGAGATCACTTGTTATTTTTGTCCTTTCTCCTTGGTTACTCGCCATGTAGGTTTTTCTACGTACAAAAAAGAATATCTTGGGGTTTGTAAGGTTAGTGACTTGCGTTAGCTGTAGATCTAAAGGAAACTAAAAATTTAACTAAGAAATCCCCACACACATCTCCAAATTGTTTGACCAAAAATATAGATCTTGGTTCAACCAATTAAATTTATACAAATGAGGGTTAGTCTTAGTTAACAATAATGTCCCGAAGATGAAATTCTCCGAAGTGTGATAAATAATACTCCATCTGAGTTATTCTCGGATCCAGTGAAAAAATGTGGACAAGAATCTTAGTGAAAATGTTATTTTTGTGTGCTTGCAATAAGATCTGATTCTCTCTTTAAAGTCAAAGTATTTTTCCAAAATGAATATCACATGTCCCCTATCATTGTGTCTCTTTCTATTTACAGGGAACATGTTCCTAAAAACTCTAATGGTACAAATGCAAAGAATATCCACTAGAATATTCTTTTTAATGTCATATCTCGAAACTAGCTGTTATAATTCTGTCAAGGGTACTCGACCTCGGTCTCGATCTTTGACAACTCCTCAACATCAGTCTTTGTTGAATCTTTAACCACGACCTTCATTGTTAATTAGATTACTTCGACACGTGGCGGTCTAAAAATATTTTAATAATACCACTTCGACTAGAGATAGATTTTGACCCATACGGTATTGACATAACATATTGCATAGTATAAGAAGTAACACGTGTCGAGGGTATATGTTGGATGGATAAACATGTAGTGTCTAGTGTCAAGTGTTTTGCCGGATTAACTGTGCTCTGAACCTAGTAATTTCGACGTATAATATAAATTTATGTGTAAAAATTATTAAAATTGCAACAATTTGTAAGTCTAAATCCATAATTCTAAAATACAATGAGTTCAGTGCTAAGAACATTAGAGAATGAACCCATCGAACTTAAATCCTAGCTAGACCCCCCTGGTGGCCATTGCATCCGACTAGGAGTGGCAAACAGGCGGGTCAGATATGGTTCGGGTCGAAAACGGGTAATGAAAAAACGGATAAATTATCCGACCAGACCCATATTTAATACGGATAAAAAACGGGTTAACCTGTAGATAATATGGATAACCATATTATCCATGACTTCTTGCATATGATCACTTTTAGGAGAATTCTTAGTCTCCATAACTTGAGGAACCCCAATTTGAGGCTTTACAAATGTAAAAGTTAGACCCATTGGTTATCCATTTTCTAAATGGATAATATGGTTCTTATCCATATTTGACCCGTTTTTAAAAAGTTCATTATTCAACCCATTTTTTAGTGGATAATATGGATAGTTAACTGTTTTCTTTAAACCATTTTGCCACCACTACATCCGACCATCACTCAAGGAAAAGGGACAACTAATACCTTCATTGGATGTTCTCTAATGTTCATGACTCAAGAAACTCTTGCCAACCCTATGCACTGGTAGAAGGATAAACAAGTTTTTCACGTGTTGTTCATGACCAATCACTCATTTTGATGTTTTAGCGTAGATAGTTTGAACTGTTGATGAGGATGCGATTGCTCTTTAACCCACATTTATAGCAATAAATTAAATTCCTTGAAGAATTATTTCCTATTCCAATACTTGGCCAGTGCTTAGTATATGTTACCAAATGTAACATGAATAATATTTGACTCCTAATTCTCTAAAAATCTATTATACATTTTAGTTGTATATTTGGCTTAGCCCTATAAGTGATAAATCTTTTTTATCCAAATTAAATGATACTTAAGAATAACGATCTGACAATGTCCTAAGCCTTTTTTGTCATAGTTTTTTAATCCAAGTGTTTATTAATTTTCTCCAAGAAGTTATCATACAAAAAATCATTATAGCTTTCAAAGCCTATCTTTTGAATGACTTTAGTAGAATTCTAAGACTCTCTTTGGTTATTAGTGGCCCAAAGTCTACAAAGTTTCTAATATATTTTCTTGTTGATCACAATTAAATCATCTCCAAGTTTCATCGTTTGAGTTTTGTCTTATTGAGTCCTATGGCTTTTTGCAATGATATCCTCTATTATGATAAGGGTTCTCTTTTTGTTGTTCTAGTCCTTGAATATACAAGCCTTATAACCAATTGTATAAAAGAAAATAACTCATAAATTCCAATTAACTTCTAAGAATGCAATGAAATATAACATAGGCTCTTCGTCAACCTTTTTGATGGTTGTTGTGATGCTAATTATGGAACTCGGTTGTTGGTATTGACTGTCTTGATATTAATCATAGGTTATAACAACTCCGTTGCTCTTTCCTAGATTTGATTCATTGTTTTGAACAGCACAACTAGCTTTATATTCTTCAAATCATAATAATTATATCTACAAATTTTAGTGCAATCGAATTCACTATGCTTCTAAAATGGACATGTATGACTTACAAGCGTGACAATTAAAGTAAGATCCTAACAAGTTGATTAATCGTAGTCTTTTACCTGAGTGAAGCTAAAAGCCAACAAGTAGCATATGACTAATTATATTTTTAATGGAAATCACTGTAATTTGCATGTACGCAAACTTTCTAGTGAAATAAAAATAAAGTTGTTGACATAACAGGACTTGCCAGAACACCAAGAATTTGATTTGATCTTTGTTCAACCTTGCTGTCGAAACCACTTAACCCGACTAATCTAGATTCACGCCGCATAGGATCCATTTAAGGGCGAAGTGCTCCTTGCCATGAATTCCTCCTTTCTCAAAGCTCAAATTCAATATCTCTGTTTAAGCGTAAATGGTCTCATCCATCCCACCATCCCTTGGTTATGGTAACATCTTCAAAATATAGGACTTAAGTCAGAACCATTTAGCTTCTGTAGTTTTCTAAGCAGAAGAACAAGAGAATGCTTCACAACCATTCTCAGAGGAAAGTAAGACAGAGGACACATAGTGCTTTAACAATGTGCTGCATTCTTTTTAATTCACTTGCCTAACAAAGAAACCAAGGCAAACATATAAGAATTTGTTCTTTCAGTACTGACATGTGCAAGACTCTGTTGCTCAAATCTTAATACATACTTTAGTTGACCAAAAGAAGCTTAGCTTTTCTTTTATCCTGACAGAATGACAGTTCACACTTGTGACTCTACCATGAGGTAGGGTACATTTTTATTGGTTTCTAAATCACTATGATCATGTCCTATCATTGAAAGCCAGTTGTTGAAACTTAAAAAAGAAATAAACTTGCTCTCCTTAGACATTCAATTAGGACAAACAAGAAGCAGGCTTATAAGCTTCAAAATACTAAAAGATAGCTTTGCAAAACTTAATAGGACAAAAAACAGATAATCCTTTTTTGCTTCAACTAAACATGTAAGGTGGCATTTGTAACTGAAATAAGAATTAGAAAAAATTTTCCACCAACAAACGCCAAGATTTGCAGGTCAGTATAGAAATACCAAGGGTCAAGAATGAAGTAATGAGAATTCAAAATGAAAAAAGAGTAAAGAAACACAATGAAAGCTAATGCATTTAGGAATTAAAAAACTAGTTATAGTACAAAAGGAGACTAATATATTTGTCACAGCAATCTGATATTAATGTTTGGGCAATTCAGCTTCCGTACTTCTTAATTGAAAATTACGAATGACCCAAATGTGGATATGAATTCACCTTGAAGAATATATCCAGCTGAATTGCAAGGTAAAATGAATTTTGATAAAATGAAACTCATAATGATGGAAAACTCTAAAGATAGTTTCCCAATGGACAATGGATTTGCTCTTCCAAGAAGGGAAGGAGTGTGTCCCTCTTAGATACATGAGCAGGTAATTTCTAATAACATTCCAAGTATATGATTTCACAAAGAGAGGCTAAACATATAAACAAATGATCAATTTTCCTATTTAACAAGGGAAGAACATCCCTCTTTAGCATACTCGAATCACTATACATACCTCATGATAAATTGTTAACTACTAACCACTGGTCCGTCGAAATGATTCAATTTTCTGAAGCCTAATCTGTTCTCTGAACTTGGCAATGAATTCACCGGCTTTTCTATCAACCTCACTTCCTAGATCCATATCATCCACAAGGTTAAAGTCAGCTTCTTCATCAGAACTCATATGAGAATTGGGTAACACATTCTCGGGGTTCCCTTTGCATTCTGAGTTCTCCTTAGATTCCACAATGTCCGTATTAACAAAAAGTTGCTTTGCTTCACGCTCACTTTCAGAGAATGCTGAGCTTGGAATTGGCCCACTGTTGTAAGAATGTCTTCTCGGGAATTGACTAGTGGATTTGCATGCCCTTCGCTGTTGGTGAACTTCATGGATGATACTGAGTCAAATTCATCACAATTGACCTCATTTATGTCTCCACTTTCTTTTGGACTACCTTCCTTTCTTTTTGATCTACCAATATAACTTCTGCGGGATCTAAATGTTCTGACTGATTTTCCCCTTGACAAAATTTTCGCAGGTATCGGTTGTTTCACATCTGAAACCAAGGAATTGACACTTTCTTTTTGCATGTATGAAGAATCCTCTTTAAGATCCTTGCTGGCATGCTTCAATTTTGAATTTTCATGCACAGTTATTTCTGAAGAAGAACCAATGCTAAATGCTCGAGATTTTGAGGTATGGTATGTTGCTTCATCATTCACAGATCCAACATTCTTTAATTTATCTTTAGATGTACAATGAGTATCAAACTCTGAAGAAGAACCAACAGTAGATCGTCGAGTCCTTGAAGCAACGAATGCAGCTGTATCATTCGCTGATCTCGCTGTTGGTTGACTAACTTGGACAGATGGAGGCTTGACATTCTTCAGTTTCTCAAGGTCTTCCTTTCTGGAGCTTGGCATTTCTGGAGAGGCAGCGGACATTGGTGAAATTGCTCTAGGAGAAGAAGAATTGGAAACAATTTGAGAGCGTATCCGATTCCAGAATGACCATGGCTCTAGATGCCCTAACTCAGTTTCTCCAGCACATTTGGGCTCACAATGTGGATGACTTTGAACATGACATGCTTCTACACTAGAAGGATTCATTTTCATCTTTGTTGCATCCTCTTCATAGTCATCTCTCAGCTGCACATTCATTTCTGGAAATGACTGATTGCTAGGTTCGTTGACCTTTGAAGTTAAAACTGCTGCTTCTCCAATGGAGGTTCCTGTCTGTTCTGAAGCCGAGCTGGATATACTCTCAAATGCATAATGTGGGTCAGAGTGTGGCATTTCCATTTTGACACTTCCATTTTCTGAAGAATAAGAGGATGAAGGCGAGGTAATACTTGGTGAAGAAGTAGGACTAGTCCGAGAGGATACTGCTCTACTGAACGACCTAGACTTGAGATGCCCAAACTCCAATTGTCCAACCGAGTGAGGCCTAGTATGTGAAGGCGGTCTAACTGTATTCACCCCTCCTATTTCTCTCTTCTGAGACCTCAATCGCCATGAAATTTGGCGAGGTCCAGAAACCTCCTCAAACTTCCTCCCCAAATTGATACGAGACATTCCTCTTATCTTTTCCCCTCTAACTTCATAACCAATACTACCAGACGAACCCCCTGAATTAGCAGTATTTTCTTGAATAAATTCCGGGTTTTCAGCATTAACAAGTCTGTTTCTCAGGCTCCTAACAGGCAAGCCTAAAGGTTTATGGTCAATGTGGTCAACATTTTCAACCCCATAGTTTCCATTGGCAACAACCACCATGGATTCACCAACAACGTACTGAGAATTCCAAACTTGAGCTACTTCCCTCTCACTCAACCCATCCGTGTTTTCAACCCCATCTACATCTGAAAAGCATCTACTTTTCTCACCATCATCAAGATTAGACCTTTCTTGACCCCTATACTCATAATTCAAGAATGGAGACTCCCAATTTGGGACATCAGAGCCACAAGAATTTTGAGCCCCATTTTCACCTAAAAAAGATCTAACCTTTTCACCCTCAACAAGCTCAAATCTTTCTTGGCCCCTATTTTGATAATGCAAGAACTGAGAATCCCAACTTGGGATCACTCTTTTCTCATCAGACCCACAAAAATTTTCAAGCCCATTATCAAAGATTGAGGCTACATTTGAAATCCCAGAAGTAGCATATGCATCTGAACTCTCAAATCTTGAATGTGTTTCAGCATAAGTCTTGGTACTACTTCTTTTACAAAACAAGCCATAACACACAGCAATGCCAATGAACAAAAGGTGAAAAAGCTCCCAGAACTGAGTTACTATACTTTGGGTTATAAAGTCAGGAGCTTGGGAAGGAAAGAGTGGGATAACAACCAGAATAAGCATGACTATAAGAGATTTCAAGAAAATGTTAGAACAAGAGGACTTACTTGAATGCTGCTGCTTAACTGTTGAGGCTTGTTTTGGCATTTTGAAATGGGGTTGCTGGGAATAGTCTGAGGGAGCTGAGGTTGCTGCCATTGTTCCAAAGGGGTAAAGAAGATTTGGAGGTTAGGTGAAGCAGAAGAAAGGAAGACTTAACGGCAAAGGGAAAGACAAAGGGGCATGAGTGTATGGAAGAGAGAGTATATGTCTCTCTCCTCTCTCAGTGTGTGTGTGAGAGAGAGAGAGCAGTATTCAAAAAGGTGTCATTATTTTACCGTTTTCCTTTCTCTCCATTACCAAGCAAAGGTCCATTTTACCCCGGAGATTGAGATCACGATAAATGTTAGTAACTGCACCTTTTGCACATATAGTCCGTAGGTGTGTTCAAAACCGAACAGTAATCGAAAACCGAACAGTAATCTTATTGGTATTGAGTTAACGGTTTAACGGACGGGGAACAGATTAAATTTTTTTTATTAATGGCTTATTGATTTGGGGACGGATTATTCAATTTTCTTAACGGATAATCCGTTAACCCGCTAAGAATATATATATTGTATATTAAATAAGTAATAAAAATCTCTTCTTCCACTACCGGTACTCTATTAGACAATTAGATTTCATATGTATATTAAATAAGTAATAAAAATCTCTTCTTCCACTACCGGTACTCTATTAGACAATTAGATTTCATATGTATATTAATTAAATAATAAAAATCTCTTCTTTCTATTAGACAATTAGATTTCATATGTATATTAAATAAGTAATAAAAATCCCTTCTTCCACTTCCAGACCCAGTACTCTATTAGACAATTAGATTTTAGACATTAGAAAATAGAAACCCTAACGTCTAAAGGCCTTAATTTCACCCAGTGGCCAGAGCTTTGCCTTTGGATCTTTTTCATTTCGTTCTTTACAGATTAAATCAGTATTGATCTGATCTTTATGAAAATGGTGTAAGTCATGTGCAATTACAAACATTGCTCCAATATTTGTAGTCTGAACTGAAAGCAGCGTCAGCGGGCACTAGCAAATTTCTGTAGTGTTTAGAGGTATCAATTTTGGTGTAACAACTAACATGCTGTAATATGAAGGACCAAAATAGTCCTCGGTAATACAGTTTGAGTTAGGCCGACAATAGCTAAACCGATACCAATCCGCCCGATATCTTATCGGGTGGCTAGCGGATTAATATATTTAAAAGCTGATAATCGATAAGCCGAACCGTTAAGAGTAAATAACCGACCGATCCGCCCGATAAGCAGCCCTAATAGTCCCTCCTGCAATTTTTTTTCCGGATAAATAATCACTTGGGTGTATTTAAAATTAAGTTCGATACTTGTTGGTGCAAACAATGTCATGTAATTTAAGATAGTAGCAGGTAATTATATATTAGGAACCTAAATTAAATGGTAATTAATTTGTTATATCATATTAAATTACTGATAATGTAAAAACAATTATAGTCATACCTACGTTGTAACCTACCTTTCGATATGTTACACCCTATATTTTCGTACGTGAGAGTACGTCGTAAGTCAATTGATGTAAGCTCAGAAATGAGATCATCTTTGAAAGTACATAAAGTAAGTTAATTATGTTAATTTGGAGGTTACAAATATTTAAGATCATGAACTACAAGTACCAAGAGGGTTGGAAGGCTTACAAGCTAAACGAATTGAAGAAAATAAATTTCGTCGAAAGTCGACAAGTTGGGAATGTTATAACGTGTACTTTTGGGGTGAGACTAGGGTGCTCAAAATGATAAGGATGTCATATTATGAGTTATTTTAGTTTTATGATAGTCGTGTGTTATGTTTTGAAGTCAAGCGAGTTGTGAAACAAAAGTTGGCAAAGATCATCGCACGTTATATTCATAAATATGCTGAAAATTATGTCAAATGTACCTGAGTATTTCTCCCAATTTACTTGAAATTACGGGATGATCTACCTACCAAATTGAAGATCTACGAGTCTAGTTTCAAACGGTTTAAACTGTTCATTGATATAATATTGCAATAGAGAGATATTCGTATTTTTGTGAGACTGCGCAGACTGGTAGGTGACAAGTAGGTGCATCACCTACTTGCCAACATGAGAAGCCTCAATTAAAAGCTCCTAAAGTCGGCCAAGAGGGGACTTTTAAGGACTTATTAACTCATTTATTTCATTCATTTCTCAAACCAACAAAATCAGATTGCCTGCAACTCCTCCCTAAAAATCCCACACAAACCCTAGGTAATTTTGGGTGATACGATGTGATTCTAGTGGCGAAAACCCTGGACAACTTGCTAGTTTCTCTTTCTCCTTCTTGTAGCTGTGTTGGGGGACTGATTTTGGATGAATAAGGACTAGGTTTTGTGGGTTCTACTCAGTCCAAGGTAAATTTATGCTTCTCATTCCATTATCTATGCTTGTACGAGTTGTAACTCGATCGTAAAGACTAGACCTAGCGAGCTTCAAAAGAGTAGTATGATATTTGTTGTTGCGTCACTGTTGGCTGGTTGTGAACTTATTTTTAACTTGAATTCATGGCTGGTTTATAGGATAAAAGGCTTAATTATATACTGTTGGTTTGTGTTGCTCAATTTGAAAGAAAAGACAAGCCGAAACGTGTTTTAGTAAATTGAAAAATCAGTTTTGAGTTGCTGAACTTGTGGGATTATTTTGTGGGCTATTTCGTGTTGCTGTTGGGTTGTATCTTTTGCTACTGTTTTTATGGATTTTTGGAGGAGAAAGGGTTTGGAGAAACACCACATAATGGCAGGGTGGTTGGATGGTCGTTCGTCGTTACATTTTTAGGTTGTTTGACACTACTAGAGTTGTCGTTTTGTGTATGAACTTATTGGGGTGTGTGGGATGTTTTGTGGTATTTTATGATGGATATAAGGTTGAAAAATGATGTATACATGTTGTTATTGTTGTGTTCTTATTTTTGTTGGTGTTATGTCGAATTGGGAGGAAGTAAAGATTATAGGGGAGAAGCTGCCCCTTTTATTATAAAATAAGCTATTCGTTTGTTGTGCGATAGTTGTACCTTCCATAACTTGATGATAGTATTATTATCGTTGTTGTAGATTAAGGTGCAATGAGACGAGTTTAACGTGGTTATTGGACAGATTGTGATAAGGTATGTTAAGGCTAAACCTTTCCTTCATTTTGGTATGATCCTGTAACTACATGTGTTTGATAATAAGACATAAAGAGAAGTTCATATTCTTGAATTTATGTACTTTATCCTAGTCTCATAAGTTATCATATTCTCCCTTATCGGTTTATCGGGACTTNGGTGGGCAGGCCCCTATTGGGCAACCTTTGATCAGATGGTAAGTTATATACCGAGCCTACTGTGACCGAACGCCTATGAGCGAGCCCAGAATTATCGAGATACAGAGTCTAGTATGGCCGAGCACCTATGAGCGAGCCTACTACGGCAGAGCAGTTATATGTACCGAGCCTTATAGGGTCAGACAACTATTTTACTTACTATATTGAGAGAGTTAAGTCAGTATCAACATGTACACACATATTCAGCTTATCTTTGTGTAATGACCCGACCGGTCGTTTCGAGAGTTATAGCCCCGTTTCCCCTCATTTCTACTTCTTTTTATGTAATTCAGCTATATTGTGTTATATCGGGTTAGTTGCTACGGGACCGGAGTGATTTCGGAGTGAATTGAGACACTTGGTCTCTTTGGGATAAGCTTAAGTTGGAAAAGTCAACCAGATGTTGACTTATATGTAAACGGTCTAGGATTCGAATTTTGATGATTCCGTTAGCTCCGTTAGGTAATTTTGGACTTAGGAGCGCATCCGAAATGTGATTTGCAGGTTCGTAGTGGAATTAGGCTTGAATTGGTGAAAGTTAAAAATTTGGCGATTTCGGTCGGCAGTGAAAAATTTGATATCGGGATCGGAATGGATTTACGAAAGTTGGAGTAGGTTTGTGGTGTCATTTCAGACTTGTGTGCAAAATTTAAGGTCATTCAGACGTGGTTTGGTTGGTTTCGGCATCGGTTGTCGAATTTGGAAGTTTAGAAGTTCTTAAGCTTGAATCCAAGGGTAATTTGGTGTTTCGATGTTGTTTTGAGTGTTTCAAAGCTTTGACTAAGTTCGTATGTTGATATATGACTTATTGGTATGGTTGGTTGAGGTCTCGAGGGTGTCGGGTGTGTTTCGGGTAGTTAACAGATCAATCATTGGTGTTGGGAGTTTGCTGGTTTATGAAGCTGCTGGTGTTATTTGCACCTGCGGAAGGGGAGCCGCATGTGCGAGGTCGCAAGCGCGCGGGGGAGTTTGCAGGTGCGGACAGTGTTGAGGTAGGCTGAGTTCACAGGTACGTAGGAGAGGTCGCATCTGCGAGTCTGCAGATGCGGATAGGTTCCCGCAGAAGCAGAAGTGAGGAGGTCAGGCAATGGCCGCAGGTGCGAAGTTGGGGTTTTTAATGATTTTCCGCAGGTGCGGAGGTTCTTGCACAGATGCGGCACCTCAGGTGCGCATATTTAGCCGCATGTGCGAAAGACCTGGGCAGAAACTATAAATAGAACACTTCGCGAATTTTGGTTCATTTCCACCATTTTCAAGTCGAATTTTGGAGCTTTTGGAGTGATTTTGAAGGGAGATTCAAGGGTTTTCAGTGAGGTATGTTGCTTGGGCACTAATACTCCTAACTATGGTGTTTTCCCATTGTATTATCATCTAATTAGTGGAATTTAGGGGTAAAAATAGGGAGTTAGGGCTTGGGATTTTGGAGAGTTTAATTTAAGGATTTGAGGGACCAAATAATGTCGGATTTTGATAAATTTTATATGTATGGACTCGTGAGTGAATGAGCTTTCTAGTTTTGTGACTTTTGTCGGATTTCGATACGTGGTACCGGGGGCTGGGTTTGAGCCGATTTTGGATTTTGGCTATAATTTGGTATTTTTCTTGTGGAATTGATTCCTTTAGCCTATATTGATCGTATTGTATTGCTTGTGGCTAGATTCGGGACATTTGGAGGCCGATTTGATAGGTAAAGGCATTGCAGAGTAGGAGTTTTGCTCGAATTGAGGTAAGTAACAGTCTTAAGTTTGGTTTTGAGGGTATGAAACCCCGAGAAATTCATATGATGTTGATATTTAGAGGTGACACAAATGCTAGGTGACGAGCATATGAGCGTGCACCGTGTGGGATTGAGACTTAGTCCATCCTGGTAGACTGTAAATTCAAATAGCCCTTT